GGAACCCTCATACACTGCTGGTGGGACTGCAAATTGGTACAGCCACTATGGAAAACAATATGGAGGTTCCTCAAAAAACTAAGAAGTGATCTACTATATGATCCAGCAATCCCTCTCCTGGGTATTTACCCCAAAGACTTGAAAACCCATATCCAAAAAGATATTTGCACACCGATGTTCATAGCAGCATTATTCACAGTGGCCCAGACGTGAAAGCAACTGAAGTATCCTACGATAGATGATTGGCTAAAGAAGCTGTAGTACATATATCTACGTATATATGTATGTATATATACATACACATATGTATATACGTATATATATACAATGTAATATTACTCAGCCATAAGAAGAAATGAAACACTGTCATTTGCGACAACATGGATGGACCTTGAGATAATCATGCTAAGCGAAATAAGACAGACAGGAAAAGTAGAAAATCACAGGATATCACTTGTATGTGGGATATAAACCTAAAAGCAACAAATGAACAGGACAAACAAACAGAGACTCAGGGACATGGACAATGGACTAGTGGTTACCAGAGGGTAGGGAGTGGGGGATAAGGGGAGAGGTAGACGAAGTAAAGGGAGTCAGACATAGCGGGGTAGAGAGAGGGTGAAGTGGGTAAAGGGGATCAAATATATGGTAATTGGACTTTGGTAATCACAGAACAGAATATACAGATGTCAAATTATAATGTATACCTGAAAATTATATAATTGTATTAACCAATGTTATGTTACCTCAATAAACTTAATTGAAAAAAAAAGAACTGTCTATAGCTTCAGCCATCTCACAATAGTAGGAGCCCAATAAATGTGTTTTGAATTAATGAATGCAGTTAGGGCTGTGCTACTGCATAATCTGAGAAGCACTGGGTCCCCTTCCTAGCAGAGTTTACCAGGCACTCACAGCTTCACAGAACGTAATAGTTTCTTTTTTTCATTGGTTTTAGAATACAATTTTTTCACATGCATCTTACAATTGATAGTGTCTTAGAATCATGTATAGTTTAATGTGCAGCATTTTTTTCTTCCTGAGTATTACATGAAATGATATTTATTTTAATAAATGATGGTGTTTTAGAAATAGTGGCATATAGTTATTGCTAATTCCATCTTAATATGGAAAATACAAAAACTTCAAGTACTTACATCAATTAAGTCTGAAAGATCATGAATATAATACTTGAAAACTGAGGCATTGGTTGCTTCAAGGGTTAGGAGATATTCATTTCGTGCCTTTATCGATTTTAGTTTATTTTCCGAATACTTTGCTTGTCTCTGGTGAAGGAGAAGATCCAGGCATTGGGAAAACCAACAAAGTCATTTTTAACAAGACAGAGAAACATACATGCATTTTTATTAATCTAAACAATTTATTCTACATCTATAAATGACCTCTGAAATCCTTTGAGGAAAGTATATTTCAAATCTGATTTAAATAACAAACTAAAATTACGCTGCTATGGGGAATAACAATGTATTTGGGCTTCAGGCCCATTTGCAATGAAATCTCTTTGTTAATATTCAAGTTCTCTACATTGTGTATTGAATACTTGGCATTCACTACTAAATGATGTCCAGCTGTTATTATATGATTTTTATGTTTCTAAAACATTTTGCAATCCCATGGGAGGAAATTCATGTCGTTTCACAATAATTTACAATCTGTGTCTATCAGCTATTGCATCAGTGTTCTTAGGCTTGTCACCTCAAATGAGGATTATATACTACCTCAAGTGAGGACAGAAAGGCTCTGCAATCTATTTTTACTTACCTTTTCTTTCATTTTTTCAATTTTCTTTACAGAGCTTCGTCGCTGATGTCTCTCTTCTAGTCTAATATGAAAGACTGGATCACCAGATCTTCCAATTTGCTTTTCTTCTTGTTTCTCAGCCTCTTTCAGCTTACTTTCTGCACTGATGCTCTCTGCATGATACATATGGTACGTTTTCATCACCTGTGAAAATGTGAACCAAATTGTTAAAAGTTGTCTATCTGTAACTTAGAGAGCGAATGGAAACGATTAAATGACATATACGTTAAAAATATCACCTTCCAACTTTCAGATTGTTAGTAAAATAGATGAATTATGGATTATTGCTTCTACCTAAAGCAAACAGAAAAATGCAAATGCACCTGCCAGGAAGAGGCACTCAGGGGATAGGCCTTGATGAAAAAATGATTTACAGAGTCTTATGTATACTTTCACTGTACTTGAACAGTTCCCTTAAAAGTGTTTAAGCTTAAAAGTGTTTCTCTAAAATCTCTTCTGCATTATTAATCTGCAGAATAAACCATTATTCATGGATAAATTTTAGCCCAACCTTGGATTTATAAAAAACTCTAAATACGTACAGCCCTTACTATATTTTATTGCTTAAAACATGCTTGTCAAAATACAAAACATATATAATGAGGTTCAAACATAATTTTAATAAAAAATGTCTTTCTGATCACAAAATACTTTATGTTCAATGTAGAAAACATATAACACACACACAAAAAAATAAAAAGCAAGCAGAGATAACCACTGTTAGGATGTACATTTTCCCTATGAAAATGTACACCTACTTCATTTTAAAATGATATATATCATTTCTTTTTTAAAAAAACTGGGATCATACTGTATTTACCTTTTTTAAGGTACTGTCATTTTTTCATTTAATACATCAGAATATTTTCTTATGTCACTAAATATTCTTCTAAAGCATAATCTTAAGGACTGTATAGTATTTCCCTATATGACTGTGCCATACATATCTAATTTTCCTATTGTTGAACATTTTAGGGTATTTCTGTTTTGCTTTATAAAATAAAGCTGTGCTAAAAATCCTTGATGTATATCCTATTTTATTTCTTTTAGACATGATAAACATAACAAACATTTTAATAAATTTAGGAATACGTAGAACATAAAGTTTTGTTTGCAATGTACCCTTTCCATGTATATTGTAAGCTTATGTAATAAATTCTTAATCATTAAAATTTTTTGGTTATATTATTGTTACAGAAATGTTTGTTCACAAAATTCTGTCATTATTTCCTAGGATACATTTCCAGAAGTAGAACTGCAGTCAGAGAATATGCACATTTTTGAGGCATTTGAAACATACGGCCAATTTAAAACTAGGCTAACCCGAAAAAAAACCTCATCTATATAGTTATTTCTCAAAGCACTTTAGATAATGTAGATACTTAATATTTTCTCAAAATAAAAAATGGATTATTTATTCTTATAATAAAATCTGTTATATCTGTATATAATCTCTGTATTCTTAGATACAGAAGTATAACAGTCACAGATTTTCAGAGATTTTACCTAAAAATCAGAGTTTTCCAATATAACTTCAGTGTTTTCATATGCAGAGTCGGACATCTGGGCCAATTTTGAAACCTGTTCATTTCGAGCACAATTATACTTCATAAAAAAAGCAACATGTGTAAAGTATGATGATTCCAATGCCATTGCACCTAGGAACACATCGGAATTAAGCACCCGAGTAATCAGTCATGACGCTTTCTCATATATTATGTCAAATTCTCATCTGCAGAAGATGGGTTTTATTTCATTTGTAAATAACTATAAGTTATTGAGGCAATTTTATAACTAAGGTATAGTTGTTAAGAAGTTGGGATTAATTTAATGTTTTGAAGTAAGGAACTTTATTTTTCTCACTTCAAAATATGAGTTATAAAATAGTTTGGGTACTCAAAGCACCACTGGAATAAATATATTTACTTCGGTTGAACCATACAAAATTGCTATTTTTGTAGGTTATATAAAGAGAGAAAATCAGCACTTTCTCATGGTTCAACTGAATACACTGTCTCAATTTGACTATTTTGAAGAGTAAAATATGGGTTTAATGAAGAGCCTTTACTTATTTTCATAAAATCTGATGATGTCTTTCCTTAAAAATGTAAGCTAGTAAATTATGTGAAAGGCACTGATGAACAAGAACAAAGTAAGGGCTAAACTACAAATTTGTGGCAGCTTTTTCTGAGCTGCAACTGCAAAGTTGTCTGTTTTTAGTAATTATCAAACCTGTGGAGGAGGGGAAGCTTGGGTGGCTACTCCAGCTTAAAAGAAAAATAAAATAGCATTAGGAAGCAGCTGGGCAGCTGGGGAATGAAAAGGGAGTCACTCTGCAGCTGGGCAAACAACGAGGTCAATGAATCTACTACACACCTTGCATTTCTAGGCTCGGCTGTTTATATTCCCTGCCCCACGCAAATCCACATACCATTTGGTTCCTGGTTCCAGTTACATTTTTAAATAAGAGGGTGTAAAAAACCAACCCCTCTCTCTCATCTCACACACACACACACACACACACACACACACACACACACACACACACGCACGCGTGCGCGCACACACGCACGCTTGCTCAGCTATCTGTATTCATCTTGCTCATAGACAGGAAATAAGAAATGAGAACATGTGACGACTCCCATCACAGTTGGATGAAAAGGCATCCCAGACAGCCATAGGTACCTGAGAAATCTTTTTAAAAAATACATCACAAAGAAAAGAACTGATCTCTTGACTCTTGTTTTACTTAGATGCTGAAGACTGGTGTAAACAGGTAATTTGCACAAACTAAGGCTTACGAACTAAAGATATCATCAAGCTGGCTGCCAGCATGGCATTTCTTATTAACTAGCCTGGGTTAAAAAGAAAACATTTGAGTCTGACTTAACGCTAGCTAGGAAACGGTGTAAATATCTAATCATTATGCAGTTCAGCACAACAGCTGAGGATTCTTTAACTAATTCAATGGCAATATCCAGAAAGAAAATTTCTTTGTTCAGTTTTCCAATATGACTTAGGGTTTCCACTATTTTCTAAAATGTTAACAGTTACAATGAATTAGTTCTAAAAGTTGGGGAGAAAAACACTAAAAGCTTTTTTGAGAACTCTAATTGCAGATAACGAATGCAAGAACAAACTGCATTATTTAAAAGGTAAGCTGTTGACAGAAGTTAAATGTGTTTTGTATTTAAAATAAAATAACAGACAGTTCTCTGTTTTTTCAGAGAAAAGAAAGCTTTTATTTTTTAAAGGTACATTTTGAATACATACTGCAAAGAAAACAACACCTTCCCCATCAGCTTAATGCAAACACCATCTTTTGCATACCAAATGACAAGATAGGCATATATCCATTTAAATGTACTTCAATAGCATATTTTCCTATTTGAATTCTTCTCTAATGAAACCTCATGCATAATTCTCCACTGAACACACTCAATTTATCTTTCTGCTCCATATTCCTTAACTGTAGGAAGAATATAGTCAAGGTGGTGACCACATCATGTACTTCTTTGTGATACTGCAAAATACCGTATAAAAACTTTTGCACAGATGCTGTTAATAATTTTTTTCTTACTGACAGACCCATATAATGTATATGACACTACTCTTGTACTTTCAGTCAAAATAATTAAAATATCTATAGTAAATTTCAATATTCAGTGTCATTATGTATCTGAAAACTATCCAAATATTGGAGATCCGTGGATTAAAGCTATAAATTATACTTTTTTGACTTCTGGTTCATAATTTAAGACGACATGGTTCCAGGAATGGATCTACTAGTTACCAGATGTGGGGAAGTTATTTAACACTTCTGCTTACCTTACAAGGTTGTTGTGGGCACCCAATGTGTGTCCCTGTGTATGTGTGTATAACTTAAAACTGTACTTAGTATTTACTATATATGCATGTATGCGTGTATATAAATATAGAGAGAGAGAGAGAGAGCGCGAGCACATGTGCGCGAGCTAAGCGAGAATTATATAATGCTTACTAAGTGCCTGTATCATGGATTGTCATGTAAATTCAGCTAGGGCACCAAGAGTATCTTAGGTGCCTTCAGGTCCTTACTGTTGCCTAATATACAGTGGGAATATAACAGGAGTCTGGCTCGTCCAGGGGCCCACATAGCTTCAGTGTCTCCTCTCTAGGTTACAGCTGCTGCTCTGCTAAGTCGTGTCTCTGGGGGCTTATTTGAGACAGGGGTAGCAACTACCTTTAAGGGAGCAGTCATAACACTGCATGCTGGGATCTTCACACCAGCAAACTCAAGCCTTCTTGCTCTTTACTATACTGATCCAGCCTTGGTGAGGAATATAGCCAGCCTGAATTTGAGTTCTGGAGCTACTACTTAACAGCTGGGCAAGTTTCTTAATTTCCTTGAGCCCCAGTTCCTCTGAGGTAAAACTAAGGTTAGATGATAGAATGCATGGAAGCACATCACAGGGTGGGCGGATGGCATTCTTGACAGTGTCTAAGGTATAATATAGAAGTAAGCATTCGGGCTCTGGGGCTAGGCTAGCTGGCTTCATATTCAGGCTCTAGGCAAAGAGGCAGAGGCCACTGTCTCCCAAAGGCAAAGCAGCTGGGAGAACTAAGGTACAGCAAAGGTAGACCAAATGGAGGCCTTTTCCACTATTTCATATTGCAACCTGGGCTAGCAAAAACCTCTTAAAAACTAACTTTTACCAGTGAGGAATGCCTAGGAGTTGACTGCAGAGATACCTATATGTTCATAAAACACAAAACCTGAATTCCTATTTTGAAAAGGCCCATCTAACTTATCTGAAATGTACATTGCATAATTAGCACCCTTTCGATGTATGCTGACAGTTACTGTAAAATTAAGTGGACATTAGCCTAGGTTTCAGGGAGCAATGTATATTGATCTGCATTTATTCATACACCCAACAGCTACTGAGTATCCATAAGCCAGGCGCTGTGTTCGAGATGAGATCTCTACCCCATGAGAAGACACAGAGGCAAGCCCACTCTTACTGGAAGACAAACAGGAGGTGGGAAGGGGCAGTCATTCACTTCACAGTAGGCTGAATAGGAGACAGGTGGAGGAGGATTCCTGAGCTTCTTTTTAATCAGCTTTTACTGAAGTCTCAGAGCCTCTGTGAGGAGGGGGCTGT